ATTGACATGTAAAACAATCTTGTTTCTAATTCAAATAAAAAAAAGAAAACAAAACAAAAGAAAAACTAAGGCACAGAGAGCTTAAGGTCTCTGGATAAATCCAACCCTCCATGAAGTTTAAAGAATCAGAATAAAAAGCCAGGTTTGTTTGAGGGTCCACAAGAGGGAATTTTCTTCTCTTCCAATTGATTGGTTTTATTTTATTTATTAAGCTATAGAACAAAGTTAGAAAGTTTTAGAAATTCCAGGGGTGTGGGACAAATCACTTTTTCCCCATGCCACGTCAGCAGAGAACCTGACCTGATGCTACCCGAGTGTGCCAAGTGTAGATTTCCACCTCGAGGACCCTGGGAGTGTACTTCGAGGTAAAACCTAACCCTAACCCTACTGTGTGACTGACATCTGTCAATCACCACTCAAGCTTTCCTAACTGTCCAGATTCCGTCACCTCTGGTCCCCACACTCTCCAGACTCCTTCTTTCTGGTCCTGTTCCAGCACCCTTCATGAGCTCTGTGACCTCGCTTCGTCTAGATTTATCAGGCCTTTCCATCGCAGCCTATCTCCCTCATGTGAGCTGTCAGGTATTTCCTCGTGACAAACCCTCGCGGTCTACCTTCATTCGTCTTTTTCCCTCTGCACGGTTACACAGTGAGAGATGTGACGGGGAAAGTTTCCTGGAAGAAAGTCAGCCATCTAAGTCAAAGGTGACGTGACAGCAGCCTCAGCTTCACCGTTCTTTAATGGCACGGAGGCAAGATGGTGGAGCGTGGTTTACGGCTTAGGGAGGGATGGAGCAGCCTGCCTGTCTCCGGAGCCTCTCGTTTCAACCCAGCCAAGTCGATCCCAGCATCTTCTCATGCCAGCTCTGCTTACAAATAAAAAGGAGGAGGGAAAAGCCTCAGAGTTCGGCTTAAAAGGACCTTTCATGCCTTGCCAGGCCTCTGTCTTCTCCTCACCACGCCTCTGTCACAGACTACAATACATATGTTTATCTTGCTTCAGGCAGGGGTAAATTAAAATGCTTGAGGATTTTCCCCTCCTAACGTTGGCATGTTGGCTCCCAGCGGCCGCATGGCCGCAGATCATGAATTGCAAAAAGCAGCCGTAAATTACGGCCTTTGCAAACACACAGACCTTTCCTGAGGTTGCAAGGCGCATCACTTTAAAGGCCGACTTTCTTCAAACTTCCAGGAACTGAGTGGCTCGGAGCCCATCTATTTAAAGGTCAGGCTAGCCTTGCTGGATTTGGAGGGCTGCCTCGGACACAGGCTTACTCTCAGCCCCGCTGCACAGTCACCATAGCCAGGGCAGCTATGAGCAGCCGCGTGTCCCTTCAAGGATGCAGAAGGCATTGCCAGACGCAGTGGCAGGGCCAGGAAGGACAGGAGGGGCAGGGGTAACCAAAGGTGATGGTAACTACAGATTCATCCCTCTGCTGGGGATGAATCTCAAAACTGAGCCGAGGTCCCCGTGTTCCGGGTCGTGATAATCTTTGTTCTTGTTTTAGTTCAGCCCTCTGTAAAACAGTACCTGGAACAACTTTAGGGGTAAAGTGTTATTTGGGCTTATGGTCCATCATGGCAAGAGCACGAGGGAGCCCAGCTCACACGGTAGCAGTCAGGAGGCAGATGGAAAGAGAGACAGAGACTAAGCTAGCTGCCTCGTACCCTTCCCGTTCTATTGAGTCTAGGCCCAAAGCCTAGAGGATGGCACTGCCTACATTCAGTGTGGGTTCTAGCCTCTGAAAACCCCCTCACAGACTCTAACAAACCTGTGTTTTACTAACGCTACAGTGCTTTTCTGTCCACTTAAGTTGACAGTGAGGATGAATGGTCTCAAGTCAGAATATAGCACCCACGAGGATCCCTGACAGGCTGGGGTTAGGGGACACTCTAGGGCCAAGAGGCAGGCTGAGATCAAGGAGCAGGCTGGGGCAGGATGTTGACATTCCTGGGGAGGAATATCAGCAGCAAATGGTATTATTCCAGGCTCGGTGATCAAATGAGATTCCTCTTGAAGACGGGTTTAGGGGAGCAGGCATCAAATCGGTGTGGAGGGAGGTCACCTAGGGGCAGGGAGGGGACCCTCACTAAACTGACCGACCCAACAGAGTGTACGAAACAGCAGAGGTGCCTCACCTACCAGCTGACGCCCACCTCTCTGTTTAATTAAGCTCCTCTGGCAGTGCCATGCAGTGAGAAACTGCTACCGGATGAACTCATACAACGGCCCTGGCATGCATGGAGGTGGCCCCATGGCTTACTCACGACATCTAAGAAAGTTGTTGCTTGGTAGAAGTCACCCAGCAAGTAAGTGGAGGTGACTGACTGCAGAGTCCCTGCCTGACCCTAGAACACGCTCAACCGCTGCCCTGTGTCTCCATGCATGCCCAGTAGCATAGTAAGGACAACCCACAGCTCCTCCACAGCAGGGCTTGGCCGCCAAGTCTCGTTGTCACCCTCGGGCACTCGGGAGGGCTTCAAAGAGGAGGTGGCATTTTAACATTCCCTTCCAGAAGGCTTTCCACGGGTCAGAGGGAAAAGGAAGAATGAGCCAGGAAGAAAGGACACAGTAAACAGGAGTAGCGAAGCCACAAAAGGGTGGCAACTACCCGCTGAGAAAGCTCACAGAGGTCGTGAAGGAGTCCAGGGGTCCTTTGGGACATCTTTCCCAGTCTCTGTGCACGGTGTCACTCACTGTGTCACTCTGGCTTTTCCCATCAATGCTGAGGAGGAGGCCTCCTCGGGCCAGTCTATGGGAAATCTAAGGCAGAAGTTAGCAGTTCCTGGCTCCTGAAGGGCAGGACGGTGTTTGTACCCACAGCTGGGCTGCCTGCGGCTGAGATCATTGCTGGCCCAGGAAGAGATGCTCAGTGAGAGGAAGCCGGGGAGCAACCACGACTGTGATTCAGTACAGACCTTTCCTGGTGTCTGATTAGCCTGAAAAGACGGAAATCAGAACTAACAAAATGAAACACTCACCAGGGCAACCCAGGAAGCTCTCTGGCCTAGGAGTGAGAAGGGCAGGAGGTCAGAGATCTCCAGACACAGTCATCCGATGGGACCGAGAAGGGGGACTCTGTCTGCAGGAGTGCTGGAAGCTGAGGAGCAGGGAGGCCCGCTCTGGGATGGGATGGAGTGGGTGGGTAGGAAGGCACAGCCTTCTTGGTCCTGAGTCAGCTCTGATATGCAATTTCCCAAACAAAACTTATCTCTCCAGAGGACGGATGCCGGGAATTTTGGCATCTGGGCGTAGTGTGCTGCCCAGCACGGGCATCTGGTGCAGGCCTTCACAGCACCTTGCTCTGAAGCACCTTGGTGAAGCTAAGTGACTGAGGTGATAGGGAGGCACTAGGGTCAACTCTTGAGCTTCCCTATAGATTCGGCCTGTCTCTCTGTGGGTGCCAAGGAACCAGTGCCCAGGGGGTCACCAGCACACAGGCAAGAAGAGAACTAGGCCATGCAGTGGCCTGCGGGCGGTGAGGAGGACAAGAAGCCACACCTCCTCATGCTTCTCTCCTAAACAAAATTCATCAGCCAAGGACCCTGACATCTCCTAGTCTCCCATCCAAACAAGTCTAAAACAGAGCAGCCTCTGGGAGGCCATCCTTCAGCGGGATTATATAACACTGCAGATGAACCCGGCCTTGCTCGGCACACAGTTAGCACTAAGTAAAGCTCACGGTTTATCCACTGAAGAGAACTTACATCCACCACATGCCTAAGTATGACCTTCTAGATCTTTCCGGCGTGGCAGAGGGTCTTCCTTGTGAAGTCAGCTTTGCCTTCATCACACAAGACTAGGTCAGCCATGTCTTCATCTTTCAACTAGAGTGTTACTGTCCCCAAAGGTCATACTATTGTATGGAAGGATTGGGCAGTGTGTGACTTATATCTCAATAAAACTGCCATATTTTAAAATGAAGGGGCCGGGGATCTACAATAGAGTGGTTGTCTTGCTTTTCCAGGCCTTAGGTTCAATCCTCCATGGTTGGAGGAGGCTGGGGTGGGGAGGGAAGAAAGAGAGAAGGGTAAAAGGAAGCGAGAATAAAGACAGCTGTCACTGGACTATAGCAATAACACCAGAAAATGCAGGTCCCAGCTGGATGGGATGCTGACTCTAGAATAGATTTAAACAGTTTGATGAGTGCAAACACACACGTCCCCGGGCACACACCCCCAAACACGGGAAGCTGTACCGCTGCCTCTGAGCTATCCGCCCCCAGCTCTGACCCCCACTGTCCAACACCACGACAGAGAGTCATGCGGTCGGTAGACAGTCAGGAACTCTTATTTTGTCTCCTGCCCCAAGCAATTCCTAAACAGTGGGAGTTAAATATTTATAAAGCAGTCACTGTTTGTTTAATGTTCAATCTGGTATTGGGAAGCCTGATGTTGAGAATCGCTGAGGTGACAGTCGATTATACAACAGGGGGAGTCCGGTGCACCAGGGTGCCTGACAGTAACCAGGAAGGCATGTCTCCTCTCCGGGGCTCTGCAGAAGTTGCTTCCTGCCTTGTGCTGTGCCCCAGGGCTCTGAAGATTCCTTGACTTACTCCCCAGCGTCCGTGGACAAAAAAGAAGACAGCCTTTGTCACCAAAAGCTAATGCATCTGCACGTGTTAGGAACAGTTTCAGGGACGACATGGGGTGGAGCACCAGAGGGGACACTCACCACGGATTCCCTCACGTGTCTGTGGCAACAGTTAGTCCACACAAGCTATGTGTATGAGCGTAGTCAAGACGGTGAGTGATCCAGAGTTGGGCACACACGCCATGCCCACCTTCAAAAGCTGCTCTCCACATACTTAGCTGAGTATAACAGGCTCCAGGGCTCAGGGAGGGCACTGAACTGCTAGGAACAACTCTTCAGTCAGATGACACAGCATTTTGAAAATTTATTTTAGGCTGGGCGGTGGTGGCACATGCCTTTCTTTGATCCCAGCACTCGAGAGGCAGAAGCAGGCAGATCTCTGTTAACTCAGGGCCAGCCTGGTCTACAGAGTGAGTTCCAGGACAGCTAGGGATACACAG